GACCCTGAGGCACCCAACAATAACAGAGTATGACTCTCAAACCTGGAAATTAGCTTTTAAAACACTGCTAATTAAACCACAGAGCTTATTTGATTGTCACCAGTCTCCACAGAATCCAGTGATTTAGCTGTTGTGTCTCCGCTGTCTCCTCCAATAGAAGCGGTTTCATGCGCTGCACTAACACTTCGTCCCCTGTGCTAACAGTCTTGAAGAGCAGTAAAATATATTGTTATATCATAGAAGCGTGCACTATTTTGTGTTTTGTATTTGGTAAAGTCCATGCCAAAATAGCAATGTTGACAGGTTAGATTTTAAAATAAAGAGGAATTCTAATACTTTCTTCAGGCCAGTGGATTTCCTGGTATGCTTGGTTTGTTTCAAAGACTTCGGCTTTGTTCTATGGGATAATTCCAGAAAAAAAGCACACAGAAGAGCTAAGGATCCCCACTCTCTGTCCTGGGAAAAAACCTTCACCGGCTGCCACCTTTCCAGAAAGACTCACTGGTGCCATTTAAAGCATCATTTAAAGCAATTATTGTACCTGCCTGAAGAACTAGTTAATTCTACCCACATCTGAGTTAAGTTCAGTGAGTTTTACTGTATATAATGAGCACTGACCTAAGACTTATTAAAAGGAGTTGAAAACCTATCAGAAGGAAACATAAAACGAGGGGAAAAGTTAAAAATAAAAGATACAATCATGTGAAAATTCATTTTTCTGTGCCTTTTAAGCTACAGCATCTAAATAATAGCTAGATCACAGTAATTATAACTTGCTCGGTTAATCTTTTCAAATACATAAAATGGAGATAAATCTCAAATGCAACAGAATATGAAGGGGGCTCAATAGCCAAGCATTACAAAACAAATACTAATTTTAAATCTTAAGTACGGGTGCACTTTTGACACAGCTAAACTAAGTCTATACCGTCATATAGTCACTACCCAGTGTAATCTCTAGCAATTAAGGCAGGCAGTGTTACTATTCCACTATGAGGTATCCAGGTCTGCATCATTTAAAACCTCTTTTTTCTAACCTCAATTACCTCAGAAAAGGAATTCTACAATTGGAAACAAATGAAGAAAGGTTTATTTTTAATTATCAATCAAACATTTTGTTTGTAAAGTATATAGTCTTGCAACTCAGGCAAGATATTAATGCCATATTAATGGAACTCATTATCCTTTCTGGAAGAATTGATACGGGTTATTCTGACTAGAGTGAATGTTACAGCAGAGGTCTTCTCTGTCTGGCAGGGTCCCAAAGCCCAGGACAGTAGAATGCCCCAACTCAGTACAATGAAACAGTGGAGGAAGATGATGGCTATAAAGTGTCTCCTGGCTTCTGGTCCACCTCAGCCTTCTCCTCCTGGGGACTCAATGTTGGAGCTCCTTAGGGACTCAGTCCTGGGCCCCCTTACTTTTTCCTCTTTACGATCTCCCCAATAGGAATGTCAGTTTTAAGGTGATGTCCTCAAATTGCTCTCTCAGTCCAGACCACTCCTCTGGTCCAGAGACTTCTCCCATCTGACCACCTCTGTAACCTCTCCACTTAGGCCCCACTTCCCACCTCCCCTGCAAAGGGGCCAAAAACCTAGGGTACAAAAGTCTATGACAGGCAGTCATTTCAAAGGTAAGTAGGTTAATGCAGATGAAAGCAAACAGCAGCCATATTGTTCAGCCTCTTTCCTTTAGACAGACACAGAACATGGAGGCGGGCACATAAATGTTTGATTTAATGTGCAACAATAAAAAGTATCAGCTAAGCCCAGAAATCAATATTTACAGTTTAATAGGGAAAACGGGCAGCTTGATTTCCAGCCTCTTGAAATACACCAAACACTCTTCAGCTGTGATCTGATGTACTTACTGGCATCGTCCATGAACTCAAAGTCACCCCCGAGCTCAGAGGTGGAAAAGTGATACTGGTCCGGGTCCGCCAGGGCGCTGAGGAGGATGAGCAGCACCACGGCATTGATGATCTGGAAGGAAGGGAAACACCATTAACCCCAAGCTGTCACCCTCAGAATAGAAAAATCACACTGACCACATGGAGCTAACTTCAACAGAGCTCACTTTATAGCACCAAGCCTCATCCTTTAGGGGGACCAGGAAAGCAGGACTCCCCAATGTGCAAAAGCTGCCAGCTGTTCAGACAGAACTAGGGGCACCGGCAGCAGGGCATAATCAACAGTTGGCTGTCACCTCCCTTCCCCTTTGGCCAGGGACCCTAGAACAAGAAATGGCAGAGACAGACAGCCGGCCTGGCTCCGGTGGTTGGCAATAGACAAGTTTCCAGTTAGCCAAACACACTAACAACCAAAGCCCAGCAGCTGAAGCTTCTTCAGATGATCATACATTTTCAGATCACCAAGAGCCCCGAGACCACCAACAAAATGGTTCCTTGGACAGGAGCCTGGCCAGGCCACTGGTAGTGGTAGCAGGTGAGTGAACCCTTTCAGACCCCAGGCCCACATTCCTGCCGTCAGGTCCACAGATTTCCTTTGGATTCTTCAAACTCAGACCCCACCCCCCTTTCTCCTCCTCCTTGCACTTTATGAGGGAGCAGTGGTTAAAGTGCTCAGCTGCTAAGCACAAGGTTGACTGTTTGAACCCACCAGCTGCTGGGGGGCGGGAGGGGGTAGCTGGGAGGCTATCTGTTTCCATAAGGATTAACATTCTGGGAAGCCCCATAGTGCAGTTTTCTCTGCCCCATGGGGTCACTACGAGTGCAGTGGGTGTGGGTTTGTAGTCTACAACAAAAATCATGTTTTGAAAAGCCCACTTTACGCAAGGGGTTTAAATGGAGAGTCCGGTTATTGGGGGGCTTGTAAAAAACACCCACTCCAGCGCTGATTCTGAAATGGCATTCCCCAGTGGCTGCTTCTAGGATTGTAGGATTGGAATTGTTTGTTCTTTCTGTATGTCCCAAATGGTCCAATGATTGGATCACTTGGGGAGGGGGGGAGGGAGATACTATAACAAGAATGGCACTTTCCTAGACTACACATATCTATTACTGATGGATAGACCTATTTTAAGCATGTGGTTAAAATCTTCCAAAAGGCACAAAAGAGTATTAAAAAGTCTCCCATTCCTGACCACCAGCCACCTTCCCTCCCTGCAGGTCATACCAGCTTTATGCTTCTCCTCGAAGGACCAGGAAACCTCCTAGCACGTCTGTTTATCACGTATAACAGCATTCTATTGTAGAAAACTTTTCAGAACACATTTAAGGTTTACCAGAAAGTACAAGCTAGCCCACAACTGGTACCATGGTGTTTGGAAAAAGCCATTATGTGATGAAACTGTGTTCTTGGCATTTACTCTGTTCAGAACATAGTTTCCCAAACATTCGCCCTATCACTCCTTTTTCAGGGGAAAAAAAACTGCTCAGCATGCTCCCCTCAACTGGCAATGAAAGACATGTACAAGTCCATTACCCAGGACAAAACATAGGTGTCTGCTTTGACAAGCACTGATCTTCAACAAAAATGTATTTTTGACAAAAGCATGTTTAAGAATTATGGAGTATGTAAGGTAAGATGAAAAACAGCGTTGTGCTATGACAAAACAAAGAAGCAGACAATGGCATCCTTGCTTTTAGCAAAAGCTTTAAAGCTGAAAGGAAAAACATACATTTCAGATTCATTCGATGCAAACTGTTAACAAGCTAGGCTGGAACGGAAAAGTTGGTGATTTTCACCTACCTAGAGACACGTTGAGAAAAGGCCTGGAGATGTAATTCCAAAAAAGAATTAGCCACTGAAAACACTATGTCCTGCTCTGACACACGTGGGGTTATCAGGAGCCAGTCTAATGGCACCTCGGACAGCTAAGGTGGGCAAGGCTTTAATGGTACAGGTAAGGTGGAAAGCTGAGAAGGTGGCAGTGTGTGTGAGTCTGGTGAAGAAAACAGGCCAGATTTAGGGATCCCATTGGGCTGGTGAAGGCTTTGGGATTTTAATGCGAAGCACAGAAGCAGGTAGAAAATACTTAGGAGAAAATTGTGAGAGATGTAAATGAGCTTCAAATGGGGTAGGTATATGTCAAACACATTGACAGTAACTGGCACAGAGTAGCCAATTCAAGAGTTTTCATTCCCTTCCCTGCATGATGAGAACCACTTAAGAGCGCTTGACTTGTGTTAGAAAAGTACCTGCAGTTTCCATCATCTGTGCTGGCTTTGGGCAGTGGTAACAAGGCTGCATTCTTGCCCTTTCCATTTCAATGGGCTTGTCGGTTCTTAATCAGCTTGTTATTACCCCCTTGCCTGGTTCACTCATCACAATACATTAATTGCCTATAACGTATCAGGTCCTTTGTTAACTGCTCAGAATTCGAAGTAAATAAATCATCAGCATAGTATAAAGCAGTAGCAGAACGAGAGTTCAGAAGGAAAACGACAATCCAGGAGAAAAATTATTAATGGGGACCCTGGGAAAGGAGTCCTGTTGGTCCAGTGCATTATTGGTTACACTGTTAACCCCAAGGTCAGCAGTTCGAAACCACTGGCTTCTCCACGGGAGAAAGATGAGGCTGTCTATCCCAGCAAAGAGTTAGTCTGGGAAACCCACAGCAGCAGTACTATTCTGTTCTATCGGGTCACTGTAAGTCAGAATTGAGTCCCTGGCAATGAATTTGATTTTGGTTGGTGCTCATGAGGCCAAGTCCCTTCCAGGGGCCTTTGCTCTCTATCAGTCAGCCCCGACAGGGAAGAGAAGAGACTGTGCTACAAAGATGTATGTATTGTCACAAAGCACAGCAGGACACTTTCCTAATGGAAAGCTTGTGTGCACACGTGGGCCACATTACAATGCATAGCCTCACCTGTTGGAATGGGAACTGAGCATCCTGAAGATGAGAATTGTTAAGGCCCCCCATGAGGACTGAGGTTGGAATACAGATATGAGTGGGGGCAGTAGCCACAGTTAGCTACCACGTATGGTCTGAGGGAAATGGCTAAACAAGTCAAAGTCCCAAGAACTCTGACTAAGAACTTCCCAAAAGAGGCCATGGAAAATCCCCAAGTCATCAATTCTGACCAAGAATGCAATGTTAGCACAGATGGGAACCAATCCGATGGAGAAGACTTGCCAAGAGCAGATTATCCGTTGACCCCAGCTAATCTAAATGTGAGGGGGTAAAAAGAGAGAGAGAGAGGGCATGTTCATGTTCTCCTTCAGCTAGCGCTCACTTACATTTGGGTTTTCTTTGCCGGGCTGCCTGTTTGTACAAACTGTTCTGTTCTATTTACAAAGTATTCCTGTGGTGGCGCATTTCCCCCATTCTATTCCTGACAATGATTACTTCCCCATGTAAATAAATTCAACTTCTATCCAATTACTTTAAGTGGTGTTAGACCCTTGGACGTTCTCCAGAGAACGGAAGGGCTCTTCACCCTTAAATCATGTGTCAGGTCCCAAACCACAGCTGGGTCATGCTGCCTGAATCCAAACGACCAAAAGTACAGCGTCAGCTCTTCTTTTTAAAACTCGTCATAAAAGAAGCTCAGGAACATTCAGACCCATCTAAGACACCTAATTAAGAAATAACAAAAACCCGCACAGAAAGTTGTACACAGCTTAACACAGACGGCAATTTGAAACGTAAGGAGAATGGCTAAATTATGCTAGAACCAAAGAACTGACCCCTCGGAGAAGGAGGTAACAATCACGCCAAGTGGGATTTAGGACAAGTACAACAATGTTAACTTTTTTCTACTGTTCACACAAAAATTCTCCGAAGCTCAAGTATGTGCCAGACAATGACGCCTTCGGGGCAGCAAAATGAAATCAATGTGCCACCCCAGCAGAGAGCAACCTTCCCAGCTTCTATGAATAGACTTGGTTGTGCTCCGATTGTCCTTCTTAGGCTGAGGTACCACATTTCAGAACACAGGGCTCACAAGACCACAGAAGATAGAGATTTGGAAGGCAGAATGCAAAAACCATGGTCACCAAGTGGAAGCCAGAAAACAGAAGCTGCCCAGAGAGCCCCTGAGAGCTGAGGGAACAGGTCCCACTTCATGTAACCACCAGACCACCAAGCTCCTCACCGGATACCTACCTTCCAAAAAAGCCCCAGTACTGTCAAATCAAAGTCAAATGCAATGATGGGTCAGACGCTAATCATCGCAGAAAAAGAAACGTTCTGTAATCATGATGCAGGATTGTTGAACAACACTTCCTCCTTTCCAAAGGCCATGGTTTATCGCAGCCATGAATATTCATCACCAACAATCTAGGTAATGGAACATCCTTCAAGATGTCAATATCTGATACTGTAACTTTTACTTAAAAGAAAACAGTGGGTCAGATTACTGCAAAGGAGATGGCTTCTTGGCTATTCTCAAAGTAAACTAATGAAAAGATGATCTGATAAATTATTAATATCTGTCGATGTAATCATAATTTACGCAGAAGTCATTAAGATGCTACTCGTGTACGTAACTTGTATTAGAATAAACATTAAGACATTCCAAAAAAGAAGAAGACATTCTGAGAAACTCCCGTTTCATTTCTAAGATACTAGTATAATAAATATTGTTGAATAAAAATAAAAAATAACTCAACAAATGACTAGTAGTTCTGTTATTAAAGTTTATTCCTTATAACTTCACTGTGACTCTTCTCACCAACTTACTCCAGTGATTTGTTCTGTTCAGTTTTTCAGAAGCATACCAGTCAAAAAGTAGGTGCTGTCTAGACTGGTGATGGCTGAGCCCATAAGTCAGAACAGAAATATGCTCTGGTTTGCAGGGAGTTAATTTTCAGAAGTAAATCACCAGACCTTTCTTCTGAGGCACCTCTGGTAGACTTGAACCTCCAACTGTAGAGAGTTTGTCAGCATCTTGCACTACAGAGTTTCCGTTAGAAATAAGAACTAATCATCGAAGTTCTAGCTACAAAGGCAAGATTTCCAGGCATCCACTAACCCCTGCCCAACACCAGCAGCTTCAGTATCACCAGGGGCTCATTACCAACAATACAAAACCTCCC